TCCGCCCACACAGTCACCAACCAATCACCTCATTCACTCATCCCCCTCTATTACCCCTCCCGTCCTTCTTACGAACCTTTAAAGGAACGCGCTTAACTCTTAAAATCATTACAGGTTATTATAGGTACTGTTCAGAAAGAGATGGACTAGCTGCAGAGTGCCTTTTGACCTATAGTAGTAAGAGCCCTTTAGAAGAAGCCTGGCGTCTGAAGTGTATATTTCTTTCATAAAAACTCATTTAAATTAGGAAATGCTGCTGATACAGTGAGGGGAGGGAAAGTAGAAATGTTTAATACCACCATGCCTATGTTTGCTCCAGCAAGAAAAAATAGACTGAAAAATAACAGAAGAACTCAAAATATTTAGGTTAACCATCCTGAACTGTTTTTTCCTACACTAGACATTTATTGCACATGCATCTTTCTATAGACAAATGTGTGATCCTTCAGTTTTGCTTCTATGGCAGTGTTCACACATAATGCTAAACCATGCCTTGCGATTACCACATGACATATTATCTTACCTGAGTCCTGAGTTCAGACAGGTGCAGGGTTTCCATGCATGAGTGGTTTCAACCTTTATCTTTCCCCCAATGGCACCACTTATCCCATCAACTCCCATGGCTGAAAGCCAATCCCAGCTTTCACTGCCCCTGTCTGCATCACCTGCCTCTCCCTCATTGGCCCACAACACTCCCCTGAGCGTGGCCTCAGCCAGCTGCCTCCCCCCTACCCTTGCTCAGCAAAGCAACTGCTTACATTGTAGAGTAGCTCTGTTGCTCCAGAGTAGTACTAGAGAGCACTCTCCATTGCTGCTTTGCTCTGTGGCAACATGTAAGCACATCTCTCCACACCCCCACCCATGCATCCCTCCTCCCCCTCTGCACGTGTCCATGGTTCCCCATGCACAGGGCTTACACACGCTGCCAGGGGCTGCCTTGCCTCTGGCAGCCAGGCACATGGAGGGCATCAGTGTGGGCACCTGTCCCAAGGACAGAGAGAGCACATCCTGCCAGGCAGACTTTCCCAAGGATGCTCATGTGGGCATCTGCCTGAAATAATTTCCCATCTGGCTGTTTGAACAGTATTTGTCACCCAACTGTGGGGATAAGGGTATAGTGGGGCTTGTTGACAGTCCTGAGGACTGTGAAGGACAAGACAGGAGTGGAAGTGCAGATGGGAGGCAGAGTGCGAAATATGGGTACCTCAAGATGCTCACCTTCTTGGCAATCTCCCATGTGCTGCCTATGTGCTCCTCACATGCAGGGTAGATTTCCTGCAAGGAGGCCAAAGCTTCTGTGCAATAAAGTGAGGGCAGCATGCTAAGCAAACACTTCAGCACCATGCAGTAACCAGGCAGCAGTGCCAGGCATAGACACTCCCATGGTCACTGCTGTTGGAAGCAGCATGGCATGACACCCTGCTCCTGCTAAAATTCCAAAGCTATAGATGGGCATCCAAAAGCAGCATGCAAAAAAGGAGGGGAAAAGAGGTGCAGAGAGGCCAATCAGCACTTTGCTGGTAGCACATCAGCAGTTGCTAGGCTGACCTGCAGAGTGACAAGAGCAGGCAGGAGTGTCTGCAGCAGCCACGGCTATTCTTTGCCCAGAACTCTATGACAGCATGTTTTCTGGGTTCAGACATGAAATCAAGCCATGGTGACACATGAAAACCATTGAACAGTCTGCTGTTTCTCTGCATGGTTCCAAAGAGACCATGTTTTGCCATAGTTGCTGGGTTTGGGCATAACAATAAGCCATGCCCCCATTATTTCAACTGTGGCTTGTTGTTAAGCGTGAATCTGGAATTAGGAGCACGTAGTGAGGTGGCCAAGTTTGCTGGTGATGCAAATTTTTTTAGGGTGGTTAAAACCAAAAGGAACTGTAAGGAGCTCCAAAGGGATCTCTCCAAGCTGGGAGGACAGGTATCAAAATGGTAAATATAGTGCAATATAAGCAAGTGTAGAGTAATGCATGACAGGACAAAAACACAACTTCAAGTATACACTAATGGGATCTGAGTTAGCAGTGACTGAGCAAGAAAGGGATCTTGGAATGGTGTTGAACGCCTGAATGAAAATGTCAGCTCACTGCTGAGCTGCTGCAAAGAAGGCAAAATCCATGTTAAGGGTCATTAGAGACAGAGGAGAAAACAGAACTGCCAAAATTTTACTTCTTTTATACAAATCTTTGCTTCAACCACGCTTGGGAATATTCTTGTGCTCAGTTCTGGCCACCTTACCTGCAAAAGGACATTGTTGAGTTGGAAAAGGTGCACAGAAGGGCAACAAAGACGATCAGGGGGCTGGAGCAATTCCCCTCTGAGGAGCTGCTAGGACAGTTGGGACTGTTCAGTACAGGAAAAAAGCAAGTAAGGGGAGACATAATGGAGGTGTTTAAATTAATGCATGTGTAGAGAAAGTAGAGAGTGAGACATTTTTTCTCATTCTCCCATAACACTTGAACCCAGGGTCATCCCATGAATCTGACCGGTGGGAGGTCAAGGACAGATAAACAGAAATATTTCTCCCCTCAGCATATAATGTCTTCCTCCTTGCTCAAGGTGGCATGCCTGAAGTTGCTGAGGAGCTAGGCAGGAGGACGTCTGGCACCCATACTGCTTGAGAGATCCTGTGGGCAGCTGGTTTGCCTCTGTGTGTATGGAGTGCTTAAGCTAATTGATCTTTGGTCTAATACAGCATGGCATTTCTTACGTTCTTACGTGAATTCACCTATTACATCTGAACTAAGCCTATTATCTAACCAGCATTTTCAGCAACTTTATTTTAGAGCAGAAAAAAAGCAGCATTTAATTGTAAAAGCAAAAGAAAGCACAATTTCTTCTTGCATTGTTGTGCTATTCCACTACCCACATTTCTAAGGATTATAAAACACAAAGCAAGAAAGTATGCTCTTTGGGTCATACTTTGATTTTAGTTCTTCAATGAAACTGAAAGTAGGTACAGTGATTAACATTCTCATGGGAAAATGTTTTATTTTAAACTACTCTGTATTTTTTTCATTGAAAAGCAGTATAACAACCTAAGAAATAAGTGTTGTGTAACTGTTGAGAGCCAGTGTGGAGTTTTTAAGAGTGGGAGCTAGGACCCAGGTGATCTGAGTACTAGTCCCCACTCAGCCATGAAATTCACTGGATGACTTTGGGCCAGTCACATGCTCTCAAGTCCAACCTACCTCACAGGATTGTTGTGGGAATAAAGATTAAGAGGAGAAAAAGAATTGTGCAAGCCACCTTGGGAGGGAAAAGGTGGGTTATAAATACCATACATACATAAATAAAAATATGCCCAAAATATACAACACAGGAAAGTTTTCTTTTAAAAGATTTATTGTCGAGAATAACCAGCTGCCAATGAATCATTCCAGATGGCACAACTGAGCAGTCCCCAGTTGACGTTTTTATAAATCTTTCCTGCCTGCATACCAAAGCAGAAAGATGATGCTGGGAAGTAGGGGAGGGGGAGGAGGTGGGTTGGTGTAAATTGCCTTTTCTTTGTGCTGCAGTTATCTGCCAAGATTCAACCGGCCCTCTGGAATACTGTCTGGTTAAGTTCAGCTACATTTCAAGGATGCGCACGATTTCTAGAAAAGAGGATTTTTCTCTGGCCTGTGTCAAATATTGCTTGGTTTAACCAAAAAGTTATACCTATTGATCTGTACATCAAACTCAAGAAGTTGCCATACACTATTTAAATGTTTATTACATTTTCAATATGCTCTTCTTCTAAGGAACTCAGCTGCCAGCAACATTGCTTAAGACTGAGCTTTAATGTTTTATTTATTGCTATATTTATATACCATCATTCAAATAAAGACAGCCTATAAATGTCAAGTTAAAAAGAAAATCCTCGACTACAAAATTACAAGGAAAAAGAACAATACAGCAGCAGGGAAGGTGGGCAAAAACCCAGATCAAATTCAGAGGGGCTTCTTGCTCAAAAAGAAGTCACGAGGGAAGAGTTTGTCCGACACTGGGAGTCACCAAGGGAGTGCAAAAGGGCTATTAGTGGTAGAAAAATGTCTTCTTTTACTATACTGGTGGTTACTTATCATACTGAGCAGAGAAAGACAGCCTGCTTTTTTCCTGGCTGCCTGAGGGATAGTGGAGTTCCAGAACCGCTCTCCCGGCTCAAACCGTAAATGCATTTCTTCATCTCAGAGAAAAGCCCCCAGAAGCGCCCTCAGCCTTAATCAACAGGCTCCGCCCAGCACGCGCTCACCCGCCCCGCCCCCCATCGACTCCCAGTTTATTAAAGGCTGCTGAACTTTTAAATGACGTGGCCGTTGGCACCGCCCTCCCTCACGCGCTCATCTCTTGGGAGGGGCGGGGCCTTCCCATGCCACCCCACGCATTCTAAAATTGAGGGAAGAACAGGAAGGCGAAGGGCAAGGAAACTGCCTCAACGTACAAGTCACGCGACCGTCGAAAGCGGAAGCCTAGAGAGATAGCTTCTAACTTTGGCCGTAAGCCTTATGCGACCACCCCCAACCTTGCTTTACTCCTGCCTACCTACCAAGCTTTTTCACGTCCTTCACCGACCAATGAGACTCTGCTTCCCAGAATTCACCACCTTATAATTCCTCCTCCATTTTCTATAGCAACCGTTCGCCTTTCTTTAAGTTGTTAACAAGTTTTTTTACTCAAAGCCGAGTGGCGCCTATGTCCCTTTCTGCTCCAATCAAAGGCTATCAACGGTTCTGACATAGGTGGCAGTAAAGCTACTCTTCATGGTGCCCCTTCCATTCTCATTACGCTATATCATAGAGATATAAAGATACCCACCCATAATAACAGTATGAGGAGTCTTTCACTGAGCTTCCGGCTTTTCAAGCTTTCGTTGCTTCCGTCACGTCCCAGGAAGCTTGTCTAGGCCTATGGCGGCACCCGATTCAGAACCGCCAACTCTCGGTGGCAACTTTCTAGTTCGCCTTATCGACGCTCTAGGCAGATGCAGTTCACCTCACTGCCTCGGAGGGGGAAGTTGTGGACAAGTTTTCTACAGCTCCCTGAGGGCGTTCTAGCCGTAACTTCCGTAGCTCTATAGCTTCCAGAACTGCCCTCCTAGACGGTTCTCGGAGTTTCTTCTCTATGGCTGCTTGCCGCCGGACCGGGAGGGCGGCGGGAGGTTTGCGCCTTTAAGCCTAGAGCCTGAGGCGCGGGGAGGGGGGCAACTGAGCCGGGAGCAGATGGAGCCGGAGATGGAGCCAGAGACGCTGGAGTCAAAGATCAGTGAGTGGGGGGTGGGGCTGCTGGTTATGAGGGCACCCAGGCTTCCCTTCCCACCTCGGGTTGCTCTTACGCGTTTCCCCTGCAGCCGTCCGTTGCCCTTGGCCTGATATGTAACGAGAAAGTGTCGCCGTCTGATAAGAGAGATTTTATGTCGCTAGGGCCCTTTGGGAGTAAAGGCGCAAGGGAGAGGAGAGATGCTGGCAGCTTCCGTACACAGGAGGCCACGGTCACTCTTTGTTTTCCCAGGCATCTAGGACACTTTCTGCCCTGCCCAGCAAAACGCACACCGCACCCTAGGTACAAGCCGTGGCGTGGATGCACGGGTCCATCCCTGGAATGTTTCTTCAAAAGCAGGTCCCACTGTAGTCACTGGGGCTTATCCCCGCAGTTAATAGTCCCTTCAGTGACAGTCTGTCTCTTTAGCTCTGCATGAACAGCTTCTGAAAGACTGGGAAGGATCTGCCCTTTTACCACTTTCTATCCACTCTGCAGGTTGCCAAGAACCAAAGGGTGGTTTGATATGTATTTGCTAAGTGCCCTTGAATTATTTAAAAAAAAGAGAAAAAGTGAGTGAGAAAAGAAAGAATGCAGTATCTAGGACTACAGCCCTAAATGTGTTAAGTGACAGGTACAAATCCCATCAGTGCCAGAGAAACTTTGAGGGGTTCATTGCAAAGAACTAGCTATCTGCCTAAAAATAAGACGTTTTATCCATTGATTAATTTTTCTGAATGTCTGTATTTAGTTTATCTGACGGAATGGATTTTGGCTCATGCAACTTAAGTCTTTTATAACGCCACAGTACTTTATGCATGTTTCTTCCGGAGTACCTTGCAGGCCTTTTAGTATCCATTCATAAGGTCAAATATGTATATTTGTTATTGTTGTTATTTCTTCCCTTTGGACCTGTTTCAGGCTTCCCATGGAGCTAGGAACCAGACTAAGTGTTTTCTACCACTCATGTTTTAGTTCCTTGATTCCATTTAGAACCCTGTCAAGATGTCTGATACCAAATCAGACCTTTGGTCCAATTTTCCTTGATGATGGCTGCACTAGTGGCAATGGCACTCCCAGGTCCCAGACTTGTTACAGAAGCACTTTTAAAGTAGTGATTTCAAAGACCAGTCCTAGGGCCTTCTTCATGCAAAACACGTGCTCTATCACATGTGGTCTACTGTTCAGCTGTGATACCTTCCGGTTGTCCTATTTCCACTGTGTGGTGACACCCTTGCAAGAAATAACTGCTGCTTTTTACTTCCCTTTCTGTGGGGTACTGCTAGCAAGGAACCTCTGGGAGATGGGATGAGATATCTGCTGATCTTGACTACTGCTTGCAAGTAGGATCTTTTCTCTCTTTGGACTTTTCTGTTTCAATCCAGATAGAGCTACAAACCCTCTGAACAAGGAACTGGAATGGGACAGCATCAATGCATTTTGTGATCAGCTCAATAAGGAACTAGAGGGGTTGGTATGCCTTACTTCATTCTCCCAAAATATAGCTAAGTTCTAATGTTTTATTTGTGAATATCATTCAAGATGGAAGCTGTCAGCCCAAATACTTGCTTGAATGAGTGACCTAAAGAAGCATTAAATAAAGCATCAGGGTGCATCAATGCCCATTTGTTTCAGTTCCTCTGATTCTATGTTTTTCTTTTATTTGTATCTTAGTGTTCTAGGACTTCAGTTCATTTATTCTTGCACACAATGTGCTTTCTCCTCATAAGTTAATAGTGGTGTTCTTTGTGTCAGGTTTTGGAATATACTCATTTTGAAAGTTACCCATGGAGACACTAATAGCTTTGCTAGGATGTAGGAGACTGGTGGAAAAAAAACCTGGGATGGAGAAATGTATGAGAGGCTGGTGTGTGAAGTAGGTAGAAGTTACAGAATGATGGAAATAAATACCCCAAGTAATTAATTAAACAAAACATTGTTGAATGGATAGAAATGCAAAAAATCTGATCTTAAAAGGCATATAGTGTGAGTCATGAGTTACATGGGTATATTGCATGGGGTAAATTTGGAAAAAACATTGTGGGATTTAGCCAGTTGGGTGAAAAAGTTGCTTCCCAAGTGAATGAACTGTGGTAAGTTGGAGATATTTAAGGAAGTGAAAAAGTGCTGTTCTGTTCTTTATTAGTAGTGAGTCACACTCTCCAGTATGGCCTTTTTGGGTTACTGGAGTTTTTGTCTAAGATACATGATTTTGTGGGATGGGTTAATATGATGATCTAATTCTGACCATAGGAGATAGCATGATTTCACTGTTCCCCTGTCTTGGCCGCTAGTCCATCTCCGCCATAACACTCCTGTAAACCAGGTGGCATCAAAGATGTCTGATCAAAGGTACTAATTGGGCTGGTCTTAAAAATATCAACATGTGTAGGAGAGAAGACCATTCCATTTTTCCCCAACTATAGTTATAGACAGGGTGTTATCATACCAATAGACCCTTCAATAATCATGTTTGTGTCTTACTGTTCAGCCCTCCACTTGCCACCAGACTCCTAGCCCACAAGATCCAATCTCCACAAGAATGGGAAGCCATTCAGGCTCTCACGGTAAGAAGTCATGTACTTTTTTTCTACTGGTTTGACTAAAGGCAGTGGGGGTAGGGGAAGATTTTTTGTGAAAATCCAAATCTGAAGTGGATGCAGCACTTTAGTGATTAGAATGCATTGAAAAAAGCTAAGTAGCATTGCTTTCTAAGGCTGAGAGCAATTGGTTCAGGAAGATTGATGATTCTCCTCCTCCTCCAGCTACAGGGAAGATTGCTTTGCCAGATGCTCTTCTTTTTTCATGGGATGCTTAGTTTGTCAAAAGAAACACCTTAGCCCCCTTGCTTCTTAAATTATCATTTTCAGTCAACCCTTCAGGAAAAATGGGAGAAAGGTAGGGTGTACAGTAGGTGGAAGCCAATGACCACTAAAAAAATGCCCGTTACAGCTAGTTTGTATCATTCTAAATGCATTCTTAATATAAAATCAAGGCCTAATGATGGATTATCCATTCATACTTCAAGAAGAAATCTTCAAATAATCCAAATAACTAAAACAACTAAACAAAGTTCCTTGTAGTGGAGTCAACACTCCTTGCTGTCCCCCTACCACTACTAGATGTAGTATTGGTTTACTGCCTAAGCTACTTTCATACTTTCAGGTGGATAAGCAAGAAGGAAAAAGTATTTGTCGAGCAACCACCAATACACATATTCTAGTTTGTTTAGTTGGAGAATTGTTTTTGTTTTCCTTTTGCTTGCTGTGTTGCAATCTTTCCTGCCTGGCATATCTGCATGTTAGCTGTTGTCTCAGAAAAAAGGGAGGAAGATTTTTCTAAAGTAGTCTTTGTGAAGTATTCAGTTCAGTACATCCAGTGGAGTTGTTTTCACTTGGGACTATGTAAGGAAGCTGTTCAACATGAGCAGTACCACTGTTGGCATAATGTTGGATTAGACAAATCCCCTTTCACAAACACTACTGTAGTCTTGATGCTGTTCGTACTAGAAAGTCTTTAAGCACTTCCTTGAAATCACAAAAGTTGAAAACAATGGCAGTGAAGAAACTATGAAAAATCATCAGCTGTAAAGACATTTTACTGGAGACCAGAGTAAAGATCATCCAAACTATTGTATTCCCAATCACAATGTATGGGTATGAAAGCTGGACAGTGAGGAAAATTGATAGGAAGGATGTATTCAAAACATGGTGCTGGAGGAGAGTTTTGTGAATACCCTGAATTGACAGGAAGACAAACATGCAGATCCTAGATCAAATCAAGTCAGTTTTTCCTAGAAACAAAAATGACAAAACTGGGTCATTTAGACCATGGGTTCTCAAATTACGGCCCAAGGACCGGATCTGGCCCGCCATGCCCATTTAACTGGCCCACCCCAGAGGTTTTGCACTCGCCCCATGTGCGCACGCGGCTTGCTCATGAGCATGCAGATTGCTCACGCTGAGATCGGTTTGGATTCACTTGGAAAAACGATCTCCTCACGAGCAAGCCAGAACCTCACTGTGTGCACCCCCATCAACGGCTTGCTTGTGTGGAGATCGGTTTGGACTCGATTGGAGAAAATGATCTCTGCGCAAGCAAGTGGCTGCCTCTCCCTGCCGCTCCCCACCTTGCTGCCCGTGTGTGCATCCCCGGCCCCCTGTTGGAAAAGTTTGAGGACCCCTGGTTTAGACACATCATGAGAGAGCAAGACTTACTGGAGAAGACAATCACATTAAGGAAAGTCAAAGGCAGAGGAAAGACCAAATATGAGATGATTGAATGCATAAAAAAAGCCACAGCCTCAACATTGGAAGAGCTGAATGGAGCTGTCAAGGACAGGACATTTTGAAGGGCTTTTATTCATAAAATGACTTGACCATAAAATGACTTGACAGCACATGGCAACAACTTCACTCTGGTTTAGCAGAGAGAGGGCCTTTTTGGTGGTGGTGCCCCAGTAATGCAATGGTTTTGCTAGAGAGCCCCATCTGGTGCTCATATTTTAGTCCTTTTGGTGCCAGATAAAGCCTTTTTAGGTCCCAAGTTTTTAATCTTTCATCTTTAAAAATGTGTTTTAGATATTTAGACTGCTGTTGTCATCTACTGTTGGTTTTATATTTTATGTATCTTACTGTTTTAACCATTTTTAGGAACCACCCAAACAACTTTAATTATTAACAATATACAATGCAAGTAAAATAAACTTCCCTGCCCATGGAAAATAATTTATCTGGGTGACTGACAATAGTAAAAACAATTAGCAAAATATGAATTGAAATATCAATGGTAACTAAAAGCATGGGATGTTTAGAAATATCACATATCTAAAAAAACTTTTGCTTATTCCTGTCTTGTTGATTTTTAAATCACAATTGAGCAGACTTTGATCAGGGCCTCTCCTGATGATCCTAAATGCACTTTCTGATTCTAGTGAGAGTAAACACACTGTATTCATAACCACTGGAGAAACAGAGTCTTCATCTGACTAGGAGCCTATTAACAGCTGAGACTTTGGATCAGGTGTCTAATATGAACACACCCACAGCACTCAACCATTTTTAACAAGTTCTTCTCACTTATACACACCAAAGCAATTAACACAGGCTTTGTAGATTGTCTTGTGAGCATGTGCACACATGTTGCTATCTGGCTATGTCCCTTTCTGTGTGTCAGTATAATGAGATAGAGACCCAGCAAAGAGCTCTGCCCCAGAGTGGCAAATTCTGCAATAAGCTCAGGTGGGGTTGCTTTTTGATCATTTTGGTCTTGTGCAAGAACCCACACAGAACCTAAAATAAGCCCTCCTAGGATGCTTTTAATAGAAATTGTATGCGTAGGTTGACTGACTTGATACAACCAAGAAACAGAAAACCAGAAATAGAAATGTTTGCCTCTTATGGTAAACAATATGATGCTTGTTGTGGGGTTGGGAATTTGGAGGACAAAGATGGTCTTTTATGCAATCATTTTTTCTCCTTCTCTGGAGAGAAACAAGCTTACATTGTTTGAGAAGAACATTGCTTGAGAAAAACTTGTTTGATGTATTCAAATGTGTATGCGTTATAGCTTGTGTAGAAACTTAAGCCTGGAGGTCTAAGAAGATGCACCCTCTGGTTACCCTTCTCCCTCACCACTGGTAGTTTGGTTTCTTGGCTTTTGTGCAGCTCCCTCACTCCCATATGAAAGTATTGAAATGCCTCTTCTAAGGCTTAGTACTGGCAGTAAGAGCTTTTAGTTCAAATGTGCTGGCATTTAGTTTTGCCTTTGGCTGCACTCACCACAGGATTGCATCCTGAAGAGCTTCACTGAAATGGGATTCAGCCCATGGGCTGAAAGAGGTTTAGTACCCCTGCTTTATAGGATGCTGTACACATGGACTTCTAAATAGCATTCCTCCACCCCACCCCCTGTTCATTCTATTGCATCTTGAAGTAGAGAAAAGGATAATATGGGCTTCTGTTGCTAGGACTGTTTCTCACCCCCTGCTCTGTTGCACGTGTGCAGGTCCTGGAGGCCTGTATGAAAAACTGTGGCAAGCGCTTTCATGATGAAGTGGGCAAATTCCGCTTCCTTAATGAACTCATCAAAGTGGTGTCGCCCAAGGTGAGTCCTATTGCTGATGTGGCAGGGTGAGAACTGGGGATGGTTGGCATAACTTGATTTAAAATGGCAAAGGGCTGGAGCCATTTTATACTATGTGGAATTCAAAAGCATGGCATGCAAATAGTAGAAAGGATGTGTGCTGGTTTTATAACAATAGTGACCCACAATTGGACAATCCAAAGCTTCCATGTGTAGGGGATGTCTGGCAAGCATGGATTCCCCAATCATGCTATTGTTGAAGAAACTCTGTTCATGCCACTGTGTGTCTCTGTGTGAGTTGCTATAACAGTTCCTTGACCCAGAAGTCACTTTATATGTTAGAAACTCTGCACTGTTCCACACATTCACTTCTAATGAGACAGGATAAGTCCTTGTAACATGGCAGCTCACTTTGTGAAAAACTATGCAGTGTGAGTCACAGCACACCGAACAGACTATAGGTGTACTGTGTGTTGTTTTCCTTCTTCTAACCCTCTCCCCCGCCCTGCCATGCTCCAGCCAATATCCCAGGGCCTTGAACAGCGCAACATTTCTTGTCTCCACCTTACTGCTTGATTGCAGCCCAATTCTTTGCAAGGGAGAAGTCCCCTGCCAGTGACACCCACTCCACAGATGCCCAAGCAGCTGTTTGGAGCGACCATCCCTAGTTAATTACACTTTTTAAAAAATGTACAGTAAAAATACAGGCAATTGAAATGGCATTTAAAAAAACTTAAGTGCTTCACAGAAGCACACTCACAGCTATCCAAAATGTGGAATCTTCCCTGGCCAATGACCTGATAAGCATTTACTATCAAAATGCAGTAGGTAGCATTCATGGACGTTGACCAAGTGAGACTGCAAATAGGTTGTTTGAGCAAATTGTCAATTAAAAAGCAAACAGATTTTTGCCCCCAAAAGGATTGTTGAGTATCTCTCTTTTGAGTATGATGCTCTAATTTTCAAGTAAAACCTAACCATTCCCTGCCCTTTACCTTTTCCACGCTTCCCTGAGCCTCTAGGTACTCCAGAAACAGGGGATCTACATCCCACCCCCTTTTCTTTTCACAGCAGTTAGGCTTGTTTTTAAACTGTTATATCTGGCAAATTTGAACATTTTATTGAAAGGACAGAGAAATATACAGTCTTTAAATCTGGTTATATTTTCCTGCACAAGAAAAATGGTTACATCTGCCATCACGGCTAGTTACAATGGGTTGCTGTGTCATGCAAACCCAGTCATTATGCATTTTAGTTAGCTAGGATGTAAATGAAATGAAGTTTCACGTGCTTTTAAAAGCCTTGGGATGGCTTGTGAATCCCCTGCTTGGTCTTTGGAAATGCTGGAGCAGATTTCCTTCCACCTGCCAACTCTACAAGTACTTGGGCTGGAGAGGCTTACCTAACTGATCTCCTTGCTTCATTCTGAATTTTCAGGAGGAGGATCCCCATACATGTTCACAGTAACCCTAAGCTGCTTTTAAAGCTACTGTATATCATGTGCATGTTTAAGTGTTATATTTCAGTTATAAATAGAGTTAGGGTTTGTTGCAGTTCCTCTGCAAGATGAGGATAGGACTTCTCTCTTATGTACGAACGGTAAGGCAACCAGTTCTGCCTGTAGTGACTACCAGTAGATGCCCTTCTCCAGTATTTATTTATTGAATTAATTTCTATGCTGCCCAGCGTCAACTTTTTAAAATGGGTGGAAGATGATTCAGATACATGTGTGTTCCTCTTCTAGGAAGATAATGAGTCATTTATCTGGATTGGAGCACTAGGATTATTTTAGGGAGTGTAATATATTTGTCCTGCTCTAGCTCTCAAATCAACTTTTTCTTCCTCCTCCTTGTGTATTTTAACATATTGACCAGCTGAAATTGCCAGTTATTAAAGAGTGACATGGAGATGGAGTGCTGAGCTAAATATACTGTGAGTCTGGTCCAACAAGACCATTCTTAAGTTCTTGATATGGCAAAACTGTAGTTCTCCTAAGCCTTTTAACCCTGATCATGCTGAATAGATCTGGTATTCTGCTCTCTCCCCACTCCCCTTTATCAATGATGCTGTGAGTAGGTAGTGTCTCCAGTATCAGTGAGTAAACGCACAGGGAGCAAGTATTGTTGTTGCTTGTTTGTTTCATATCTATACTGCCCCACTACCAAAATAGGATTCAGTGATGCACCTAGGTAATTTCAGGTTCTGTACTTAGAGCCATATCTTACCTACATTTAAACAGAAAAATGTGATGGAACTCCTAGCATTCTGCATCTGCCATGGGAAAAGCTGAGAATTGTAGGACTTTTTTTTCTACCTAACATGTATAGAATTTCACCCTTCATGTTCTTACAGAGAACTGTCCCATTTATTTATTTATTTATTTATTTATTTATTTATTTATTTATTTATTAAAACATTTTTATGCCGCCCCATTCGCCGAAGCCTCGGGGCGGCTTACAACCCCTTTTGATGGCTATGTGTATTGCTTCCATAGGAAAGCACACATTTTTCATCCCCCCATGCCACCATTCCATGTTTTATGACTCTTTCTATGTTTCTGGTATGTTAGAACACACAGACACACACTTGTATGCAGATCCTGTTTCAAAAGAAGAAATGTTCTGAGCATGTGCGATTTTTTGCATTTTAAACTGAATTCATTACCATAGAAATAAAAGGGAGTTTGTTTTGGCTACCCCAATGCTAAACACATTTACTTGGAAATAAGCACCATTTATTATGGAATAGGATGATATATTTAAAGTAAATGACATCAATAACCATATACATGTTTATCCAACTACCCTGTCCTGACCTAGGTGCTAATGCTAGATTTCAGCCCTGAGGTTCAGCCCTAACTGCACCACTGCTGAGATTTAAATGTGTCATTGGCTGTTATTCCCTGAAAGTGACAAGACAACATGTGAGCAGTGGCTGTCTTCTTCACCTCTTACCTCCAACCAAAGAGCATGATGCTTCAGCTTTTTGTTTGTATGGAAGCCCAGTGTGATCACTGTGCAAGCCCCCATCATCTTTCATTGGTCACCTTCAAGACTGAAAAGGGTGTGTCATTGTCTTTACAGTATCTAGGAAACAGGACTCCAGAGAAAGTAAAATCTAAGATCTTGGAGCTCATGTATAGCTGGACACTGGGACTGCCCCATGAAGTGAAGATTACGGAGGCATATCAGATGCTGAAAAAGCAAGGTGAGAGATAACTTCTTAACCCAGGGAATTCATGGGTCCCTCCCACGCAGCTAGGTGTGTTCATACAGGTGGGTGCTACTTGCCAGGGCCTTGTTGCCATGAACTCTGCAACACAAACACTGCAAGGGCAATATTAAGAGCTAGGCACTGCCTCTCCCACATTAAATCTAGAGTGGCTGAATGTGATGGTGCTGCAGTACATATGGGATGAGAGCCAGTATAGTATAGTGATTAGAGTGTTGGACTGAGACTTGGAAGAGTTGAATTCTGGTCCCCAGTCAGCTGTGAAGTTTACTGAGTGACTTTGGTTGGGCCAGTTGTGAACTGGCAGCCGAACCTATGTCATAGGAGGACACTCTTGTGAGTTGCCTTGGGTTTCTTGCAAGAGGGAGCAATAATGATAGTAACAATAGTGGCTGTGGGAGTCATGATTTCATTGCCAGATTTTCAGAGTCATGAGCAGGTTCCATGAAAAGCATGCGCCCCTATTGACTAGTGTCTTATTTTTCGTGTGACTAGAATTTTTCTCCTGATCTTTTGCCAGTGCTAGCCCCTGAAGCATCTATATGTCTGAAAGGCTAATGAACTGGAGTGCTGACCTACTTGCTATATATTTTGGGTTCCTAATCAGTATTTTTTTCTTCAAAATATGAGTAGTGATTTGGAAAAAATAGTTATTTGCTTGCTCATGTATTGAATGGCAAGCCCCAGATCAAACAAGTAGCAGGATCTATGTATGTTTGCACTCCAGGTATAAGAACCAGTGTGTAAAATTTATATGATTGTAAGAGCCATGCTGGATCAGACTAAGGGTCCATCTAATCCAGCATTCTGTTCACAGAGCAGTCAACCAACTGGACAAGGGAAACCCACAAGCAGGTGTGATGGTACCAACACCCTTCCACCTGTATTCTGCAGCATACTGCTTCTGATCATGGAAGAATCATAGAGCCATCAAGATAGATTTCTTCTCCAGCAATTTGTCCAGTCCCCTTTTAAAGCTACGCAAATTGGTGGCCATCATTACATCTTACGAAACTGAATTCCATAGTTTAATTATTTGCTTTGTGAAGTACTTTGTCCAGAATCTCCCATCAATCAGCTTCATGGCATGACTCTAGATTGTATTAGAGAAGAGCAAGATGCCTTTCTGCTCACTTTCTCCTCACCATACATATTCCTATACGTTTCCATCATATTTTATTTATTTATTAAAACATTTTAATGCCGCCCCATTCGCCGAAGCCTCGGGGCGGCTTACAACAATAAATTCATCATAAATAAAAATTAAAATATATTTTAATTTCCCCCTTACATCTTTTCTAAGCTAAAACAATCCTAGTTGATGTAACTTTTCATCATAGGGGAGTTGTTCAAGCCCCTTGATCATTTTAGTTGCCCTACTCTACACTTTTTCAGATTCTGTTGTATCCTTTTGTAGGTGCAGTGACAAGAACTATCTTTGTTTGTTCCACAGATTTGTAGAAGGCCAATGCGATCTTGATAGTTTTACTTTTGTTGTCTTTCTTAATTATGTTTAAGATGGAGTTTGCCTTTGCACATAGGGTCTCCTAAGAAATGGTTCACACCACTACACAAGCTAAGGGATGTCCAGTTTACCTGTCGCCCTTGTTCCTTTAGCCATCACTTGTCTTATGCATCTGCTGTTCATGATTGTTGCATGCACGCAAACATTGTTCTGGCGATGTGTATGTGCATATAATAGTATTAATTTCTTTTCTGTACCACCCCATAGCCAAAGCTCTCTGGGTGGTTTATAACAATGCACAAAACAAAACAATATCCCATGCAGACATGTCAACTAGAGCAGTGGTGCTGCTATCAAGAACAAAAAGAGGAGGACACCAATTGGAAGGACTAATTGGAGAAGCTTCTCATTAATCTTTGCACATTTTGTGAGCGCGCACTGGTCTTCACTCTTTTTGTCTCCTTTGCTTAAGACCATGGATGAAAGTTACTGCAGTCAAGTGGGAGCATGGCATTTCAAGAAGTTCTTTTGGACAAAGTCTGAAAAGCTGTGCTATGGGCAGTGTATTCTAAGCTCACAGACTAAAACAAGACATTCTCAAATCTAGTGTCACTAAAGATTACCATGGCAAGTGATTTGGGTAGAATTGCTATTATTTATATCCCAACTTCTTTTTTCTTACAAGGAACCCAAGGCAACTTACATAATCCCCCATACCATTTTATCCTCACAATAGTCATGTGAGATAAGTTATGCTGGGAGTGAGTGACTGGTCCAAAGCCATCCAGTAGGTTTCATGGCTGTGTGATTTAAACCTGGGTCTTCTGCATCCTGGTCTGTCACTGTAATCACTATGGCTCTTGCTATTCATCACTCTTCAAGTAGTAATAGTAATGCTATCCTTCCTGAAGCAGTTTTCCCTGGATGAGAATGATAGGTAAATTTTTCAGTAAATTTTTCTTTTTCCTTTTCAGGGATTGTTAAATGTGACCCCAAATTGCCAGATGATGCTCCCTTTCCACCACCTCCACCCAGGCCAAAGAATGTGATCTTTGATGATGAAGAAAAGTCTAAGGTAAGAGCCTTTCTCTTTGCTCAATTATTCAAGACTTGGAGTTTATGGCTTTCTTAAGGCAGCTTAAAAAGAGTTGGGTCAAAGAGTGGAATGTGAAAAAATAGAAGTAAGTGAACACCAGTTGTCTCCAGTATGTTTGGATATGTGATGAAACTGTTTCTCCTACGTGGGTAGACTAAAGGCCCATCTAATTCAGTATCATTGCTGGCACTAATCAGCACAAACATCTCTAATATGTGGAAGAACTGAAGATAGCCATAAGGTGATGTAACCACTCTTAGAGCGCAACATCATAGTTGTTATTTTTACTAGCAGCAGCCCTCAGCAGAGATCAGAGCAGTATGTGCTTAGTTCCACTGCAGGTTAACATCTGCGAGTGTGCTTCCAGATATCAACTAGAACAAATATATAAATAATATTGAAAATCTAAAGCATACATTTCCATACAAATATAACCAATCAAGTTTAGAATGTGCAGAGCAGAACCTCTATGATTAACATACAGCATTAAAAACATGTTCATGGTGTTAGATTTTTTTATATGTGAGCTAGTACTAATTAGCCATTTTTTCTCACAGTTGAAGTGCTGCAATAAGAGTCAAGTACTATAGGTGTGGGGAGATAGTGCAGATGAGTGGAGGAGCTCATAACCATCCCTTTGTATGTTCAGATGTTAGTAGGTGTATGTACTTAATTCCCTGTCTACTGGAGTTTGCTTCCTGAACATAAAAAGAGAAAGACCCCGACAACCATGGCTGAATTTCCCACTATATTCATTTCAAAGCATTTCAGTTTCCAGTTCAGGCTCCCACAGCTGCCATCTAGATGAAAGTAATGCAGCAGCCATATCTGACAGCCAACAGAGGTTCAAGTGAAGCTCTTGGTTTTGCTACCTGCCTGGGATTGCAACAATGGTATCCTTCGGACTTCTGGCACTGCTTGATATACGGTGATTGGGCTTTAGTGGGTCACAAACTGTCTGGGCCTGTCCTAGAGGAAAAATAGGTCAGTAAAAGTTGTTCCTGTACTTCCCAGCTTGTCATTAATCTCTGGCAAAACAGACAAGGCTGTGGTTTCTTTCTTTAAATAAATTTTATTATTTTCTGTACAATCTAACATTAAAAACATCAGTTATTTAAGACATCAGACATACTGGGTTGACATCTTACTCTTTTTAACAAATCAGTAGCCATATTCAGTTCTATGAATAGTCCAGCTTCTGAGGCTGGGGTTTCTGAGGTGGTAAAAGTGATGTTCTGTGAAGGTGATGCCTGTTCTGTTAAAGCTGATGCTTGACTGTTCTGCAGTTCTCATATTTCTTCCGCGCATACTCTTCCAATATAAATAACTCCCTCCAGAGCAGCCCCTTAAGCCTGTTTCTCTCTGATATGTGTGCATTTGCAGATGCTGGCACGCCTGCTGAAAAGCTCACATCCTGAGGATCTCCGGGCTGCCAACAAACTCATTAAAGAGATGGTTCAGGAGGTAAGCTCTCCCCACCAGAAGCATTTCTGCCTGTCCTCTAGGTTTCTGTCATTTGTGTGCTTTTATACTCTTTCTCCAAGTATCTCAGGCAAGATAACTTGAAGAATATGTAGTAGCCTCACTACAACTCTGTGAAGTAGTCAGACTTGAAGGCAGTAAGTTGCACACATACGAACAGTGATTTGAACATGCTTTTCCCAGTCCTTACTACTACTCCAGACTGGGTTGAAGAGAGAAATTGGAAAATACTGGCCTTCAGTGGCTGAAGAAAATGGCTTGTTACTTGTTTTTTTTTTTTTTACCCTTTTCAAGAGAACTCTCACCTTTTGCTTAGCGGTATAGGACTGGACAGAAATTCCTGAGATCAGTAGTAAAGCTTGCTGTGAATTGGATGTGCAGGCTGGGGTATAATGGTTTAGCTTGGTGACATACCAGAGAGTCTGGGACTGCTTAAAATGTGGTAGCCTTGCTCTCTCAGCATGTGGTGATCATGGCAGTGTCAAACTAGATGGCCTCTAGCATGATATCCAAAATGTAGAAGGGGCGGGGGGGGGGTCACTCAAGGAAGTCTGTCCTTTTGTGTTTGCATGTATCAGTCATTCCAGTCTCCAAAAGGTAGGATGGAAAATCACGAGATTTTTTGCCTTTTTTTTCCTTCCAGGATCAGAAGCGAATGGAGAAGATCTCCAAGAGGGTGAATGCTATTGAGGAAGTGAACAACAATGTGAAGCTCCTGACAGAGATGGTGACTAACTACAGCAAAGGGGAGACAACGGAAAGCAACGAAGACCTCATGAAAGTGAGGAAGGAGCTCGTCTTGTTGTGAGAATTTTGTACTAGCTGCAGCAGGACTTGGTGTTGAATTATTTATTCCTTACATCTGTAGCATTGTTGCATATTCTAAACAGCAAACATCTATCAGCTTATGTTAAAAAGCTGAAACTGCTAATACAATGTATGCTCCCAAGGTGTTTGTTGAAGGCCTATGGCCTAGAGGTAATGTTTATGACTTAACAAAACTACTTACTAACTTTGGAATTGCCGGTTCTACAGTTTTCCCAGATTTCTCTTGGTGCTCTGCTGCATAGTTGTCCAGCCCTTCCCCTAGCCAGTGGCAGCTGAAGAAGCTATGCCATCTTTTCTTCTAAGCTGCAGTGTCACATGAGAATACATCAGTCACTTGCTGCCGAATAACACTTCCAGACACTGGGGCTGCAAGCATGTTAATATGTTGTTGAGTGATGCATTCTGCAACTTTACTGCTGTTTACAGTGTGCAACCACCATCTGACGTGTCTAATATTAAAACATTAACTATTTCATTGGGGGCATTCTAACATTCCCTATTAGTAAAATAAAAAGGTCTTGTGATCAGCAAATTAATTTTATGTATTAATCTTCTGGTCATCATTATTGATGCTCCCTATCTATTTTGTGTGATGGAAATTGATAAGAGAATTTCTCTGCTACAAAGCAGGACTAGAGTGCCCCTTTCTAATACACATTTACCTATGGGGAACTAAGGCTGAAAAGCAGCAACCTGCCCAAATCTTCAGAGTGATCCAGTTTGCACAACCACAATGTCATTAGCAAGCCACAGTGACTTGTTAACCACTCCCAGCACATGCCAGTTGCATGCCAGCAGGATTTCCCTAAGTGCCTTGCTGGTGTGGCTTGCCATGTCATCCAAGCCAGGTGATTCGGCTTTTTTGAAGGAGTAGCAACCCTCAAATAACCCATGGACTGCTGTTAGGTTGTTTGAAAGTTGCTGCCTGCTCCCCAACATGTTATTTAGATGACATAGCAAGCTGCACTTCTGAGCATATTTGTGAAATCTGACAGTTATGCATGGCAAAAAAATAAGCCACCTCTCTGCAGTCATTCAAGCTTCAGTGCTTCAGAGGAGAAGGGATTTCACCTTGCATCTTCCAAAAGCAAGACCCCACAAATTTGTTTTCCTAGGTCACCCTTTCCTGACCTGGTGCCCACCAGATGTTTTGTACTACAACTCCCAGCATTCCTGATCATTGGCCAACTCCTTCTGAATGGTACTGTTACCTACCTAGATTCCCCCTCAACTTTTTCCCTTCCATTAATTCCCCTCCCACTAATTTCAAAAGTATCATAATATAAAAAAACAAAAATATAATGAATAATAATCAGGCCTACATATACCTCTGATGGTTCTGAGTCACAATATCTCTCCACTACAGGAGCTGTACCAGCGCTGTGAGCGTATGAGGCCCATGCTCTTCCGGCTTGCCAGTGACACAGAGGACAACGATGAGGCACTAGGTAAAATAAAGCCCAGCTTTGATTATGCTTGACTTCAGCTACCCCCACACTGATCAGATAAATGCATGTTCCAGTTTGACAGAGAGATTACATTTCTTGACGTCCTAAATGTCTATGCCCTAGAACAGCTGGTCATGGAGCCAGTGGGCGAAGAGGCAATCTTGGATTTAATCTTAGGTGAGGTTGCCTTGGATCTAGCTGTAAATGTTGTTGAACCGTTTGGAAACAGTAACCAGAGAGGTATCAGATTTAAAATATATTTAAACAGAAGATTGACAAAATGATCCAACACAGTCACATTGGACTGGAGAGAAAGGAAACTCCTCTACAATGAGGACTTGGTAAAAGGCAAAAACAAAATGAAAGGGGAAGACAAGGGGCTTAAATCCCTTTTAGTATGTATACCACAGGTTAGGAGAGGTAGCACCAAGTCCAAGAGGTCACCAGTATAGTGAACAAGCTAGAAGGCTATTAGAAGACTTCCTTCAGAAAATGCATGTCTTGCCTAAGTAAGGCAAAAAAAGGGACCACGCACAAAAGAGATGCAAGTAGATATAAGATATGCAAAAAAAGCATTTTGAGGAGCATATTGGTAATAACATCCAAGTCAATAAAGAATTCCTTAAACATATTAAAAGCAAGAAATGAGCTAGAAAGACAGTTGGATCACTGGATGATAAATGAATTAAAAGATGACTTCATTTCATCTGTTTTCAGTGCAGAGAGTACAGGACAAATACCTGTTCCTGAATTAATGTTTTCAGAAACAGAAACTGAACTCTAAAGCAGATAGTGGTAATGAAAGAAGTAGTTCTCAACCTTATTAACAAACTGAAAATTAATAACTCACCAGTACCAAGTATATCCATTTTAGAGTTCTTAACTCAACTGTGAACTTGCTGACCTTCTTACAAAAATCTAACACATTCCTCAATACCAGAAAACTGGTGAGCAGCCACTGACACACCAGCTTTTAAAAAGGAATCCAGTGGCGATCCAGGAAACTAGAGGACAATTAGCTTCATATCTGTTCTGAGTAAATTATTTGAAAGTGCTATTGAAGATAAAATTAGTAAGGATATGTAAGGACAAGCCCTGCTGAAAAAAGAATCAAACTGGCTTCTGCAAAAGTACGTCCTGTCTTACTAAACCTTTAGAGTTCTTTGAGAATGTCTAGAAAGATAGTGACAGATGATCTTATTGTTTGCTTGGATGACAAAAGGCTTTTGACAAAGTCCCTCACCAAAGACACCTAAGTTTTCCTGAGCAAACTTAGCCATGGAATAAAAAGAGAAGTCCTGTTATAGATCAGTAACAGATTAAAGAACAGAAAGCTGAGAGTAGAAATATATGGCAAATTCTGTCAATTTATTTTATTTATTTATTTATTTAAACCATTTCTATGCCGCCCCCATCGCAATAAAGCCTTGGGGCGGCTCACAACATAATAAAAGGATGTAAACAGTGGGGTCCTTCAGGGATATATGTTGGGACCAATACTTTTCAATCCACTCATAAATGATCTGGAATTAGGAGTGAGCAGTGGATGGGCAAGTTTGTGATGGCACCAAGTTATACTTAGGAGAATGGACATCATAATGGCAAATGCAGTTCACTTGCATAAATGAAGTATAAATTGATGCATGCTAGGGCAAGAAATCCCAGCTTCAGGTATAATCTGGTGGATGTGAGCTAACAGTGACTGATGAAGAGATCTTGTGGTAATGGTGGACAACTTGATGAAACTGTCAAGCCAGTGTGCAGGTGCTCGGAAAAAGGCAAACTCCATGTTAGGCATATTCAAAATTTATTTTGAATAAAACTGCCAATACCATACTGCACTTATACAAACCTGTGGTGTGACCTCACTTAAAATACTGTGTACAGTTCTGGTCACTGCACTTAACAAGAGATGGAAGAAATACAAAAAAGGGCAACTAAAATTATCATGGGACTGCAGCAGCTCTCCTCTGGGGAAAGGCTGCAGTATGTGGGATAATTTAGCTTAGGAAAAAAAGGCAAGTAAAGGAGGACATGGTTGAAGCATGCAGAATTATGCATGGTGTGGATCAAGAGATTTTTTTTCCCTTTTCTAATACTAGAACCAGGGTTCTTCCTATGAAGCTGATTGGTGGGAGATTAAGAACAGATAAAAGGATGCACTTTGCAGAGGGCATAACTACATTATGGAATTTGTTAGCAGCAGATGTAGTGATAGCCACCAATTTGGAAGATTTTAAAAGGGGATTGGATGATTTCATGGAGGAGAAGACTAGTAATGGCTTCTAGTGCTGATGGCTGTATGCCTATGTGCACTACTTGGTGGGCAGCAAGGGCAGGTGGGTGCTATTGCACTCATATTCTGTTTGTTGGATCTCTTGGACAGCTGGTTGGCAATAGAGTGAGCAGAATGCGGGACTACATGGACTGCTAGGGTGAGCCAGCATAACTTTTGTTATGTTCTTAGGATATCAAGCCAGTGATGCGAATTCAAGCAAGTTACAAAGCTTTTATATGAGTTTAAGGATACCTTTAGTTTATTCACTGTAATCATGAATGTCTGGGTTGATTTGTAAACAGTATATGGGCATGTTATTATACTTCAGGTGACCTTCAGGACTCTTCTAGTTCTGACATACCTCTCCCGCCCTCCGACTTTCCTACCTACATCCAAATTTAAGCATTCATACCTCTGCTCTTCAACACAATCTACTTCAATGGAGCTTTGTTCAGGTGCAGGATTGTTCTTTGGGTTCCTTCTGAACACTGACCTGGCTAGCCCTAGACAAAAGATTCCAAATTTCTTAACAAGATAATTGAATGTTTTCAGCTATGAGTGAACAATGTAATCACAGCTCTTGAATATTTCCTTTATTGTTATGATCTATTCTTATAGCAGAACATTTAATTTTAGAAATGGAATGTTCAGGTACCTTGTGAAGCCTTGCTCTCATAACCTTTGTCTTCCCTTGTTGCAGCGGAAATTTTGCAAGCCAATGACAACCTAACACATGTGATCAACCTATACAAGCAGATTGTAAAAGGGGAGGAGATCAATGGGGAGACTGTGGCTGGTCCTCTCCGAGGTGAGGAAACTGGATGGAGATTCACACTTAGTGTTTTCCAAATTAGAAACCTGAAATGGCTACTCAGTTACTCTCCTATAGTATCTAGATCTAAATTTACAATTAAGCAGATGGGGAGTGCACTTTAACATGACTTGGCAGCCTGAAATCTTAGGACTTTATTAATAGCAGAGTAGTAATAAAGGAAATAGTACCAGTTGTGTGATGGCTGAACTTATTACTAAGTGGCAGGGTTTGCTGCCCTGCAGTCACTCTTAGTATGATCCCAAGGTCATCCCATTAATCTGATCAATGGGAGACTCGGGACAGATAAAAGGAAGTATTTCTGCACATAATGCTCAGTTAAAATTATGGAATTCACTTTCATGAGATGATGGCCACTAATTTGAAAGGCTTTAAGAGGGGATTGGACATCGTGGAGGTGAAGACTAACAAAGGCTACTCCTCCTGATAGCTATACGCAGCCTCCAGTAACACAGGCAGTCTGCTAGGTACAGCTGCTGCTGAAAACATGAGTGAGAGGGTGCTGTTGTATTCATTCCTTGGTAATGGGATCCAGTGGGCAGCTGACTGGCCACTGTGCAAACAGAATGCTGAATAGATGGACCCTTTGTCTCATCCAGCATGATTCTTACGTTCTTTGTTCTCATAGGCAGCACTTCAGCACTTCTGGATCTATCAGGGCTGGACATGCCAATTGCAAGCCCCTCCTATCCAGCCTTACCAACCTTCTCTGGTGGAGGGTCAGCAGCTCCTGTGCCAGAGCAAAGTAGCTTTGTGTCTCTGCTGGATGATGAACTCATGTCATTAGGTGAGTCTCAGATGCATTGAACTAATACAGAATGGAAAGGGACTGATATGAAAGCAATGTATGGATGGAGCAGACCAAGTAGAAAGTTATTTGTTGTCATAAAATCTTGGAGAAATCTGGTTAATTTTTCAATCTCTTGGCTTGTTTAAGGCAATGTCATCTCAACAATGTGTCTTCAGCAAAAGTGTCTTAAGCTTCTTGAGTGTGTGGCAGACCTTTCTGAGAACCCATTTCCCCCTCAAAGCTTAGCCCCTCTCTGGGTACAGTTCAATTCTGGGCTGATCTGCTATTTTTCTTAAAGTTCCTGAGCTCTTTTGGTAGGCTGATCCCTTTAAGATGGTCCGATGAAGTTACCAGCGGAAAAATTATCCAGAATTTTCAGTGAGAGAAGTTAGTATGTGGCACAATATGGCCTTCTGCCTGCTGTATATCATAAACTTCAATATGCCTGCCTGCAAGTCAACTCAGGGTATTTAGGGGAATTTTGGACACGAATTCAGTTATGCAACTGTTGTTCATGTAAGAGAAATGTATTGTTTCAGTTGGTCACATGGAGGTTTAGATATAATCTTTATAACAAAGAGGTTTCACATAATTAATGTAAGAATTTCAGGTATGGAGGGCCAGTTAGAGACTCAGACTTCTGTACTGCTAGTTCAGAAACTAGCCTATGTTTGTAGGTATGGGAATGACCTCTGTGTCCAAGAAAGTAGCATTTGAATAGACCATTATTCACAAGGACAACTATTTATAGGGACAGTAACTATTTGTAAGTTTCTGTGGATTGTATTTTGCAATCATGATGAATTATTGGATTTTAACTGTCTGAATGCTTTGGAGCGCCTACTGTGTGGACTATGGCCAAGTGAAAATGTGTTTCTTTAACAGTTTGAGGTATTGAGAAGAAATGTATTCTAACAGATGTTGCTTTCTTGGCAAAGCATTGAGGCATGCTCTCAAGAGCTAAAGCAAAATTATCTCTGTGTGACTGAAGTTGCATGCAAGATTACGCAGATAAATATATACTGATCCACTTCTTAACACAAAAGGCCTACTTTGAATTAGAATAGATTTTTACTCACACATTTAGCATATGTTTATGCAAAACTAGGCATTTGCATCCTGCTTTTTATATTACTATACCTCTAAAATATTGCTGATAAATTATTCTGGAATATGTGCTTGTACAGGTGGTTTACCCATTCCCTTCCTATGAGCCTGAATGTGTTTTAGCTTTAGGCCAAAGCGTATGTGAAAAATCTCATGGAGCTTTTCTGGCTCATCAGCAGAATGGAGAACTATATCCTGATAGCCATCTACATTAAATTAGAAGGAGTAAATCTTGTTGGGGAGGTAGTTAAATCTTTTTCTGTCTTATCCAGTTCCTTTGCTTTAAACATACTTGCAGAGCTACAAGCTGCATTTTCCTGTTATGCCTATCCAAGTTAGAAGCTGTTTGCATTCCTCATGCCCTGGCATCATGACACCTCCTTCCTCATGTTTGCGCTTTCTCTTCCCTTCTCTAGGGCTTAATGACCCAGCAGCTCCCACAGCCCAGGCTGCAGATAGCAGTGGCTGGAACAATTTCCAGGTAAGGGGATTGGTTATTGGATTGCTATGAGAATCCTGGTGCTCAAAGGAGCCTAAGAATGTAAGACAAGCACTGCTGGTTCAGACCAAGGGCCAGCAGTCACACACAGTGGCTAACCAGATGCCTGTGGAAAGTCTTCAGAGTTGCGTGGGGTTCTAGCAATTAATACTGGGAATGGCAAAAAGACTGCCAAGAGAAGGTAAAGTGTACAGCCTCAGCCAAACTGGATTCATTTTCTTTTTTGTTGGATTTGTCCTGTGAAACATACATGAGATTGGGGTGGGCAACATACAGCCCCTTTTCCCTGCTATAGCTCATGGTGCTCCCCCTGCAAAATAACCCCCATATTTACTTGAAAAATATTGCAGCCATAGTAGCTACTATGTCCCCATATAGCCAAATTTAGTATTTCTGCAGCTTAATTTAGTTGTTTTAGTGCTACAAAGCACAAATATGGTAAATTTAGCCTGGAAACAAGCTACTTTGAACCACTGTTATACTGGATAGTACTATAGAGTGGTTTACCAGCAAATTTCCATGTTGAAGTTACTTCTCTGAAGACATCTTATGACATGTGATGCTCTTCTCAATTTCTGTCTGAACTCCATGATGTTGGGTCTTCAGCTGGGAGATGTGGAGGATAAAATTATTGAAGCTTCAGCCAGACTATAGCAAAGATTCATTGCAAATGAACCAAGCCTTTCTTTTTCCTCCAACTGTCTCTGTGGGAGGAAGGTGAGTCCTCTTTGAGTGGAGAACAAGCAGCCAAAGCAATATGAGACTCCTTTTATATTCCCTACAAGTGTAGGTCTGGGAAAGCCAAGTCTCTGTCAAATGGTGGAGTGCATCTTAGATACTCGGAGGCAAATGGGAATATACTATCATGGTGAAGGCGTGAAGCACCATTTGTGCTAGATCAGTGATGTCGAACCTCTTAGAGACCGAGTGCCCAAACTGCAACCCAATGCTCACTTATTTATCGCAAAGTGCCAACACTACAATAAAACCTGAATACTGAACTTTTAGTTTAGAAAAAATAACTCACAGCCAGTCCAAGCAAATATATATATCCTTGACAGTGCACTGTCCGGCTGTGTGAAATCTCAGACGAGTTGCGGTTAATGAATCTCAGCTCATGATGTCATCTCCTGGTGCCTCTACTCCTTTCCAAGCATGCGCATGGCTCCTGTGTGCCCTGCTATCCGATGCTCTGCTGCTGGGGCGACTTGGCTCACGTGCTGACAAAGAGGGCTCTGCATGCCCGCTGTGGCACATGTGCCATAGGTTCACCACCACTGTGCTAGAGCATTTATTGATTTTTCACTACTTTGCTGCTGGTAAAGCTACACGGTTTCCCCATGTATTTATGTTGAATCGTAGCAAAATCCATGTAATTCCTTGAGTTGTGCGTGTAGTGTGGGCCCCATGCAAACCCATTCTGCAGTGCAGAAGTGTATGAATTCTCTTCAGGATGCATCTGGAAGACTTGCAGTCCTTTGCAGGTGCTGTCAGTATATCTGAAATAGTCATGGATTTTACTGTATTAATTGTAGTGGGTGGTGATATTACCGTCTCTCTGCCAAAACCTTGATTTAGTTACATATTTATTTATACCATTTTTATTCTTTAGCCAAAAAGTCTCCTTAGGCAACTTAAAAGGTATTTCTTGAGGCAGTGCTACGCCTTGGCATACAGGAAAAAAAAATGACAAAAAAGAAAAGGATTTTGGGTGGGAGATTGTAGGCTCACTTCTCTGCTGTGTGTCTGAATGTGATTTTGCCTATGGGTGAAGGATATAGGTCCCTTGAAAAAATCCATGGATGTTCCCCCAGCACATCAGCGGGTTGGAGAACTAGATTCTGATAGTCAGCTGCAGTAAACCAAAATGAAGAAATTCTATGAAGGAAGAAGTTCAGGGGTTTATCCCTCATTTCTGTGCTTGCTATGTACTTGCAAAGTTGCAAGTTGCATTTTTCCATTATGCCTATCCTAATGAAAAGCAGTTTAGGTTCCACGTGTCCTGCAGTCATTGCAATTCCTTCCTTACACCTGCTCTTTCTGTTCGCCTCCCTAGGGCTTGAAGACCTAGCAACTCCCATAGCCTGGGGTACCGATAACAGTGGTTGGAACAATTGTGTATATTCTGTATATTGGATGGTGACATTGCTATGTCTCTACCAAGGGCTTTACTTAATTTCTTGATTATAGCATTTTTATTCCACCCTTGAGCCAAGCAAACTGCCAAAGTGACTTATAATTCTTAAGGCAGTCCCTATCTGACAGCTTACAATCTAAACATGACACAGAAGGAAAGGAGAAAGGGAGAAAGAAGCAAATTAAGGGACTAGATTCTTGGTTGTAAAGTGCAGCAGGTCATAGACACAGTAGAGGGGCTGCAGCTTCCATCTCTTCAGTGGCCTCATCAATGAGAGTTGGTGGTTGGGCTTTTTAGCTAAAGTTGGCACAGTGGAGGGTGCTGGACTACTGACTGGTTTGGTTGCTTTTCTGTGCATTACTACTTATTTTCTTCCTTTCATTCCAGTCATCTGACAGCCCTGAGCTTGGCATCCCCTCAGTGCCATCAGCCCCAGCGGGGAAAGTTGATGCAGGGCTCTCTGCAGCAGCACCTCCTGCTGCGCCAAGCGGTATGGATGACCTGGACCTGCTGGGCAAGACACTGTTGCAACAGTCCCTCCCCCCAGAGTCTCAGCAAGTCAGATGGTAGGAAGCAAGGTGGGGATGGGCAGGGAGTAGGGACTCCAAGGAGGGTGAAGTGGAGGTGAGTACTCCTGTTCCCTCTCTTTACAGTTCAGGTTTCTCTTTGCCACCTTGTAGGGAGAAGCAGCCTCCACCTCGGTTGACACTGCGCGATCTCCAAAACAAGAGCACTTCTAGCCCATCTGTGAGCAACAGCGCCCCATCCCTCCTCACAGGGCTCTCTTCAAACCCTCCTCCCCCTTTACCCCTCCCCTCGGAGCATTCAGTACCTGCTGCAGTCCCTCGAGGGCTGCCAACACCCACTGGAGCCACCATTCCTCCAGCAGGTTCACCTGCTTCAACCTCTCAGCTGGAAGTCTCACTAACGAATGTCACTGTGCCTCTGGAATCTATCAAACCAAGTGAGTTTGGGCAAAGGTTGGAGGATACCCTGGAGCATGGAGCTTGACACTCTTGCTCAAGTAGTCAGGAGCCAATCACTCTGCAAGCACCACTCTACTGAATTACACAAAGGGTTGGCCTTGACTGGGTGGGTTCAGGATGGGACCGCCTTGCTAGAGTGTTAGTCATACCTCATAGCAAGGTGCTGCACTGAGAGGGGTGGAGGTGTCACATCTCCATGGTGGCCTTGTAAATAAGGTTACATGCCTAAAGAGATTGTCCTGTATCCCATCCCAGTCAGGGATAAGAGCAAAGAGTACTTTAAGGGCACCATCCATGTGCTAAACTCAGATGACAAATCTATACAGAGAACAGATGTGATCTTAACAAGTTGTCCATGTGTGCAAAACAGCCTGTTCTTAGAAACAGTTTGATGTCTTCTTTCCATGTCATAAGACACTTTTAATTTGCCCCAGGATTTTTAGGTCAAAGTTAAGTTCCAAAGGGACTCAGAAGAAGGAATTACAGTAGTCCCCCAAAATTCACGGGGGTTACATTCACAGTTTGCGCCTGCGAATTGTGCAAAACCACAAATTTGGTGCTGGCGATGGGCGCCAGTTGCCAAGGCGGTGCGAGCGGGAGGTGCAGGCCAGGCTGGGGGGGGTGGGCAGGCAAGCGCACGTGGCAAGGCAGGGGCAGGCGCATGCAGAAATTGTTTTCTCCGAGCGAGCCCAAATTCAGAGGAAACGATCTCCTTGTGAGTAAGCCGCTGTACGGCAAGGCACCGGCTTACTCGCAAGGAGATATTCTTAGACTCGCTCGGAGAAAAATTCCGTGAAAGATTGAGGCTGCGAATGCTGAACTGCGACTTCACAGGGGTATACATCATCATCATCATCATCCATCATCATTCTCTATTTGGATTGAAATATAATGGCACTGCCCATATGTATGTGTTTAATTATTTTTTTGTTACCAGCCTTGAATATCTGAAGTAGGGTGGGACATTGAATTAAGTGGTGTCAAAATGCAGAGGTGAAATTAGAAGGAATTCCTGAGTTTATTTGGGATCAAGAAGAGTAAAGGTTGAATGCCAAATATGTTTGCATTTAACCAACATATGACTGATCATCTTCATGGGATGGACTAATCCTTTCCTGTTCTGTGCTCCTCCTGTTACTGTTTTGCTTTGCTCTGCTCCAGGCAACATCCTCCCAGTGACTGTGTATGACCAGCATGGTTTCCGTGTCCTCTTCCATTTTGCCAAGGACTCCCTGCCTGACCGGCCGGATGTGCTGGTGGTGGTCATCTCCATGCTCAGCACAGCCCCCTTGCCCATTAGAAATATCATCTTTCAGTCAGCTGTCCCCAAGGTAATGTCTTCATGGTGGGACAAATGAGAATAACCTGTTCACCTCACTTCCCTGTCCACCAGAGGAATTGGTTCCCAGTGCTTTTTACTCAAGCCAAATATATTCTAACACAATAAAATTCTAGCCAGCTACTTTGAGAAGGTAGAGAACGGCAGTAGGGATGCTACCGTTTCTAAAGGAGACTTACCAGTGTCCCTTGACTACACCTTCTGCTCCTTTCTTCCAGCCCTCACGCTTCTGTTTTGAACACCAGAGATGAAGAAGAGGTTCAGCTTGTTGGCAGAGAACATGCTTTGCATGCAAAGAGTCCTAGATTGACTCCTGGGAGACTCCATTTAAAAGGAAGTGGTGCCTCCAAAATAGCAGAACTAAGAAAAAAATCTGGTTGAAATTGTGGAAGTACTGCCAATTGGACTAGATACCAATGAGCTGGGGGACCAATGGCCTGATTTTGGATAAGACAACTTCTTATATTCATATATTGAACTAGGATACATCATCTGCTGTTGATTCCTATGTATATCTACTCCTTTGGGACTTAGTAGTTGTACTAGGAAGACTGATGCTATCCCTGGCATACCAGTTGTGAGGGTCCTATCCTCTAAACTTTTTTGATGAACTGAAAATAGCAGAAAATTTCCCAAACTGATGCCCTCCAGATATGTTGGAATACTGCTTATATTTGCTTACCCATTTAGAGGGCACTAGATTGGGCAAGATGAGTGAAAGTATTGATTGGTTTCATACCTCTGCTGTGCATTTTTTTGAAATCTAGGATTAAATGGTTCTGAAAAAGACAAGATCCTTAGAATTGTGAACCCAAACATCCAACAGTTGGTGTATTACTAGAGTAATTAAAGTTCTGACTATAGGAGGTGCTGTTTTGGAGCAGCAGTAATAGATTTTGTCCATAAATCAGTGGCTTTATTCTGTAAACAAGTCAGTCCTCTTCCAGTGAGGAGAAAAAAGCCTGAAAGGAGTCCTATCTAGATGGATCTCATTGTCTTCTTAGAAACAGGTTCTTGAGAGCCTCCAAATTGAGCACTTTACAGTTAAGTCGTTGAATCACTCCAATATGCTTTCATTTCCTTAGGTGATGAAGGTGAAGCTGCAGCCACCATCAGGGACAGAGCTCCCAGCATTCAACCCAATTGTGCCCCCCACTGCTATCACCCAAGTCCTTCTGCTTGCTAACCCACAAAAGGTAACAACACCTCTGTAGATAGTACAGTGGTCTGTCCTACTGGTGTCCTTCCCAGAACTGCTGCAGCCCTGCAAACCCTTTTGTCCCCTAAACCCTTTTAATCAGCCATGCATAAGAAAGAAATCGCATCTTCTCTTCCCTGCCTCCTTACCTGTTGTGCATCTTTCCCTTTGATCAGGAGAAAGTGAGACTACGATACAAGCTGACTTTCACAATGGCAGATCGAACCTACAATGAAATGGGCGCCGTGGACGAGTTTCCCCCTCCAGAATCATGGGGAAACCTCTAGTGCTGCAGCCTGGTTGCTGTGTCTGACTTCTAAAGATTCTGCCTCCCTTAGGACAAGATCCTTTCCAGGGCTGGCTAGAGCTGAAACTCTGCTCTTGGACTGAAATGCTGGCAGTATGCTGTGGGGTGAAGAATGGCAGGCAGAGGAGAGAGAGGTGCCTGTAGTCAGGTTGTTGGGGCAGGAAAGATTGTGCTATTTTCTGTTCTTCTAACTTGGTCCCTGAGCCTGCTCCCTTCATCCTGCTCTTCCTCCTCCGGTTTCTCCTCCATGAAATGGTGGTTCTAATGAGCTGTAGCTGCTCTGAGCAACTGAACTCCAGGGAATAGACTCTTTGGATCTTCTGTGTGACCTCCCCTTCCTGCTAAGGTTATATTGGCCCTTATAACTTCCCACCTGTCAGCTCTGTCACCACTCCACACTCTCCATGAGCAAACCTACAGACATGGGAGGTTGATGCTACATTGATAAGCAGAATGATGCCCCTCACTCTGTTTCCTCAAGGTTTGATTGGTGTCTTGTGATTGGTCACAGGCGATCCAGCTGGCCCATTTGTGATTCCATAAGTAAACGAGCCTTGAAATGACAGGGTAGTTGGAACTTTTTGCTCAGGCTGCCTTGATCCCCTTCAGGGCTGGATAGCAGACATAGACTAATGCTCATTGTGCTTGTTGAGCCACTAATGAGCAGAGTTTGGCTGAGCTGCCAGGATGAGCAAGGAAGGGAAGTGGGTAGTGTGCCTAGTCTAATATGCCTTACATAAGAAGGAGTTGCATTAGAGGTCTTGAGATCATTCTTCCACATGCTTTCCCTTTCCGACAGGAGGAACCTGACAATACCCTGAGACTATGTGCAGGCAAACAAGAGGTCCATTTCATGAACTGAATTCACTGTACTGTACATGAAACTCTTACACCTCTCATAGCTGTGGATTCCAGCAGCTCAGTCTCCATCAGAAAGCAGTGCTGAGAAGAGGGTCCTGAGGAAAAGAAAAGGTTGCCATACTTGCATCCCTCCCTACAGATCATTCCTATCTGGGTGGCCCCTCTTCTTCCTCTCAAGCCAGTATGCTCATAAGCTCTGGGCCAGAAGCATGCAGTCTATATGGCTGTCTCTTATTCTCTTGAGCAAAATACCCATGGAAATGCCTGGTAGCATGAGCTCACCTAGTTGCTTGATGGGTTGTTCCATGGGAGGTGGAATCGAGCTTTCTTGACAAAAACAGTGGGTGAGATTGTGGTGGAGAATGTTTTACCCAAGTGGGTTGTGCACTTGTTTCAGACAGTAATATTCTGGTTTTGGTGGGGAGGCCTTTCTGATATGGGGTTCTGCTATGACTGGATGCTTTTACTTTCTGGTCTCTTTCAGGGTGATATTTGCCTCCTTACTCTCTTTAGATTCGGTTCAGTTTGGTTCTTGAAACAGACTTGTACATATTTATATATATGAGTGCATATTCTGCACATGGTAAAGAACTTTAAAATAGACTGTGTGAAATCTGCTGTATTACTGGGAAATAAATCAATTTCTTCCCTGAAGTGCCTCTTAAACATTGGCATCAGTTGAAAGGCCCAAAGGGCACTATGCTGAATTGTATTCTTGTGCCCCACTGATTTCTGTCACGTATGCCTCTGTCTTTCCTTGACTGGTAACGTACAAACTTCCTCTGGAAATTAGATGGCTCATTGAACTCTTTATTTGGGACCAAGAAGAGAAATATTCAGAGCGTGACCAGTATGAACTCCATAACCTGTTCTGACCATCACCCTCTCAGGTGCAATTCGTAGCATGTATACTCTGTGCTTAACAAAAATCCTCCCTCATCCCAGTTTTTACTGTCTCCTCTAGTTGTAACAGTGAGGGCACTGCCATTCTACCACCAGTGGGTGGCATTGTCTGCAAGATTTAAAATGTGCACTCAAGAGCTAGAAGGGTGCTTACAATCATTGAACACTGAGATTCTTGAGTTGCTTAAAATCTACACCTGTACCCATTTCTGGACTTGTCCAGTGAGATCATGAAATATATAGGGCAGCTTGGCCATAGTTTCACACCTGTAAGTGGCCCATGTCATTTACCCTGGAGAGTGATGTGAAAATTGGGGCATACTTCATAATCCCCAAATGCTAATCCTGTTTATCTCCCAGATGGAGAAATAGACCATTTTCTTTGCGATGTTGTGCAGTTCACCGTTTGGCTCAAAGGAGGCCGTTTAAAGCCATTTCCAGTTATCCTGCTTCTGTTCCTCTCTCTCAGTTCCTGTTTCTGTGCCAGAACTTTCCTTGTGCTGTTCAGATGTGACTATGCCAACCACAGTTGTCGCCCTCCCATACACACACACTCTTCATGTTAGGTATAAATGATGGAATGATCTCTACAATGGCCAGAGCAAAGTATTTCTAAATTGGTGGAGGCAGCAAGGTGCTACAAATGCTAACCAAAGAACTATGCCTGGAAAATGTCACCTCATGCTTCTATTTGCGGGGAGGTTTAATGTGCATTCACACTCTCAGCTTGTTTGTGGCTAGGTTTGTTGTGTGCATGTTGATAGCTCGCACTTCCTCTTGTCGCTGATTCCCACCCTTCTTCACAGGGGCCTCTGCAGCATTCATTGCCTTATTTGGGGACTTAATATTGTTCCCATCCCCAGATTGCCTTGAAGCTGATGCCTGCCTTGAAAATTCCCTCCATTCAAAGGAATTGCAATTCTGCTGCAGTCTGTTGTGAGCTTCCCTCTCATGTTCCATATCCTGAAATGCTCCCCAGGACCATCGGGTCTTAATTATTGTCCAGCTGAGTCCTCTGCAATCAGATAAGTCTTTTCCATACCTTAATACTGCCTTCCCCAGCCTGGTTCCCTCTATATGTGTTGGATCCCTACCCTCCTCAGCCAGCCCAACACACCTGGAGGGCACTAGGTTAGAAAAAGCTGCCTTAAAAAAGTGCTGTTGGCTTTCAAAAAGAAAGTTGAAAACAATCCACATGGCTCCTCCATGCAAGGAACAAATAGCATGTACTTACTATACCACATTACAGCACTGGCAGGAAGTAACACACAGACAGTCTCTTGATCTACACTGAGCTTGTGAGATGGTGGACACATTCCCCAGTGATAAATGAACTCTGCGCATTTTGTTAACATGAATGGGAGTCATGCAATGAGAGACATTAACTAGCTTAACTTTTAACTCCTTTTAGAGGAGCTTGTACCCTCTGTCTTGATGAACGGCTCTGACCAAAGTAAATAAAGCTTGATGTTTCCCAAGGGGGGAAAAACTTAACAGTAGGTTCTTACTGTGCCTCTTGGGACTCTAGGAACAGAGGAGGATGGAACCTGTGCTGCTTACTTACAGCCATGGATTTCATTCCTGTGAGAAGACATGCAAAAAGGTATGACCAGAGCAGCAGTCATTGGAATTGGTAGAATTGCTGATCAGGCATTAGGACCCAGAAACTGCTTTTGTTCAAGCCTCCCTTGGGTGGGAAGGAGCAGCAATTTGCCACTCCCCCTTTTACAAAATTTCCCACACAGTGCACCCAGCCTCTCCATTGCTCCTGTCAGGGTGTCCTGCATGTGGAGTATAGCATGTGAAAAAGCTTAAAGTACCCTAGACCAGAAGGTAATGCAGTAGCTGCAACTGGAGTTACACAAATTAATACATTTGAATATTGTTTTAATGTGTAGAATTTTGTTGGACAATTTGGAGTGCGGAATTCTTAGACTGTCATTTATTCAGAAAACATACCTAATGCAACCCCAAACATCCTTAAATGAGGGTAAGACCCGTTTAACGAAAGATACATTTTCTCCTTATTTCTCATTTTCATTTATAGACGTTATCTCTTCATCTGCATATCCTGACCACTTCCTCACTCTACTTTTGGTTTAATTCTCCCGCTGCTCAATATAGTGTTTCCTCTGTCCCATAGTGCTTTGCCTAAGTGGTTTCTCTAAAGAAAGCGAATTTCAAATGGCTGTTATTAGAAGATTGCCTTCAATAGACAGACCGGGGCGGAGGGGTGGAGCACAACAGCTACTTGGTTTCCTCTGGGGTGCACGTCCAGCAGCATGTAGGGAAGGTATCTGCATGTTTTGGAAGGGTAACACAGAAAGCTGAATCATACACTTGTGTGCATAACTCTAACAATACACAATTATTGTTTGAACTCACAATGCCCACATGAACTGCCTCAAGTGAAAAGGCAAAGTCAGAGGTGTGCTGTCAAAGGACAGCTCAAAGGTGACCAAAATTCTACATACTTTCAAAAGCATTTCACATTTGACATTCAAGACCTTTGACTTGGCCTCCTATAGATATTACCTGAATACCGATTTTAGCATTTTTCTTACAGCTGGCACAGCTACCTTTGCTTTTTGTTGAAGAATAAGAAAACTTTTGAGGCAGGCGAACCACGGTGGTTGTTCTGCTCATGCTGGCTGGCAGCGTTCTGTGGTGTTCAGTCATATGAATAGGCTGGCCGGATCAGATGAGCATCTCAAGCCGAAAACCCTGAGCCAGATGCCTCGCAAAGCAGGGCGCAAGGGAGGCAGCCACTTGCTGTTCTTCATGGCCAGGATGCTGTTTCTGTGCCCCAAACTACATTTAACTGTCGTGCTGGATTGCTTCTGACAGACCGATTCTCCATTCATTTGTGTCATTTTTAAGTGCTATTTTGCCTGGGGCCATTACCACATCTTGTAGCAATGTGTTTCAAGAGTTTCTGATTCACTGTATGAGTATGTTTCTTTCACCTGTCATTGCTATTATTGTGATATGATTATTACATTAGATTCATATGCCACCTTCTTTCCTCTTGGGAGGAACCCATGGTGGTTAACCATGGCTATTATTGCTAATCAGCTTTGTTATTACATGACCCTAAGTTTTAATATTTATGGGAGAGAATCTTTCAACACATTTCTAATTCCACACGTGGAACGGAACACTTGCAGGGAAACCATTAAACCCAAGAATGAGTTGCTAGAGGCAGGTCTTTCCCCACCTTTTCCTTCTCCAGCAGACTAAGAAAAACTTTCCAAGCTGGGCTGGTTTTCACACTCGGAAGCCTCCTTAAAACTGTGAAGTCACCTGCCCACATCAACCCCTCCACTGCCGCCTCTGAATTTGAAGAATCCATGTTGGGAGACTAACTTGAGAAAGCTGGGTAACAAAGGCATCAGGAGAAATTTATTTCTTAGGAATTTGAGAAGTTGCTTTTTACCAGGTCTGACCATTAGTCCATCTACAAATGATTTGGGTTCAGGTTAACCCCAGATTTGTAGGATTAGGATGTAAAGACAGAAGAACATGGAGGGTTATGAAATTGTATAGAGCTGTACAGTTCCACATGAATATGCAAGCAAGTATGGAATTTGATGTTACGTGTGGTATTCAATTCTTTTTTGAAACGCAAAAGAAGCAAGTGTCTAGACCCCATGATCAGGAGGCATGTGCATGGTGAAATCTCAAAAGTCAAAACTGAAAGCTGAATAGGACGGGCTAGTGGCAAACAAGAGAGCTTCAATATGCCTCACTAAATAACTTAATATTGTTTTCACAGTTTAGAAGTTGCATTTCTTTGGTGCAGAGATGTGCTTTGGGATGGTTTTTCCTTTGTTTAAGTAAGGATGCACAGCTTTGGGGGCTGGGCTGTAGTATTGTGTGGACAGGATGCAATCTGAGCGTTCAGTGGAGGGCAACATCTGTATAACTGTACATTTCAACCTTTCCCAACTTGATCCCTTCCCATAAGCCCCAGGCAACCAGGGATGCTCTGAGTCAGGGCTGAGTTGGAGAAAGCTGGTGCCTTGTACTGTGTGGTGCCCAAAGCTATAGGAGCTTTCAGAAGCCACAAACTTTACTGCCCAAGGAAGTTTTAAAAAATGTTTACTTTGATTACCATTAATTATGATTGGTCCAGCAGGAGACCCTATTTAGGACTCTGCCACACAAACTATGTACCCGCCCTTGTGTATTGTGCTGCTTATCAGACAATGGTTTTCCTCACTCAAACCTCAAACTGCCTCAAACTGCGCTAAAGTGACACAACCCCCTCAAGCGTAGCAGAAAGAAAGTAGGAAGTACTGCAGCGTGAGCTCTTGCAGCAGAAGCTTGTTCTTCCTGACTGCATGTTTGCTGTAATAATATTTCCCCTTTAAGGCTTGGCTGAAGTTATTTATACTCTTTGCAATTTTTTTTCTTTGATGGGTGGTGACAAGAATTGAGAGCAGCAGCAGCAGCTCTTACCTGATCAGGATCAAGGAAAGGTATTGCTGGGAAGAGAAAGCGGCAGAGAAGAGAAGGAGCTAAGAACTTAGCAGGACAACAGGAGAAGGAGCCCAGTGGAGTGAAGGACATTGGTCCAAGGGGAAGCAGAGGTGATTGCTCAGAAGTAAGGGGAAGTAGAGATGGGAGGAGAGATGTGAAGCCACAAAAAAGAGAGGGAGGGGTAGAAGGAAAAAAGGAGAGGACAGGCTAGAAAATGACAGAGAAGTGACAGGAACCAGTCTGTTGTGGAAGAGAAGAGGGAACGGACCGATGATTGCAAGTGCTACTGGTTTGTGCTAAGAGGACAGGAGGGGGAGGAAAAACAGCCCGGTTAGTTTGGACTTTGGAGTGGGACTATTTCATCCTTCCTTCAAGATGATGAAGAGACAGTTTAACCGGATGCGGCAGCAGCTCAGTTATCCTGGCACCAGTGGACGGTAAGGACTACCCGCTTGACCAAATTTGCAGGCTTGCCACCTTACTTTCCCTTGAGGTGTCAGCAGCACTTTAGAACTTTCCCAAAATCATTCTCTGGATTTAGGTAATGTTTTAGGCGGGTGGCAGCTGCTATGAAACTTGATGCTGGGGCAGTTCTAAGTGCATCAAGGAGTTCTTCTCCGGTTCCTGCACTCCACCTCTGCACACATCTCATCTGAGTGACTTCAGACGGCCTTCTTTCCATGCTTCCATATTGGCATACAGGCTTTTAAGCAGCCGCTTGTACAACTGACTGGACTTTCCCACCCAGCTAAGGCTCACCACTTCCACAGCCACCTCACTGAACCACCACTAAATGACCATGTAACAAATCTGCTGCCCTCTTAAATGTTTTGGACTAAACACCCTGCATGCCTGATCATTGGCCATGCTGGCTGGAGCTGATGCGAGCGGAATTCCAACACATCCAGAGGGCACCAGGTGTGGGCAGGTTGGCCTAAAAGATGGTCATTAACTAGCTGAGCCTGTAGGCATTTGATAAGCCAGTTGTCTGTATTATTCAGTCAGGTGTGCAAGAAGAATTGACCACACTTCAGGATGCACATGTGTGGGAGGAAACCACAACAGTTCAGTGCTTTTGCATTCCTTTGAACCTGGCACATGCACTGTGCCTTTGGGATAAGAACTGTGCCACCTCTGCAGTGGTGTTTTTAACATAAACTTATAGTTTTACAACTATACATAATTTTATTTGACTTGTGTAAGAAATTAGTGCAAGGAAGCTCAGTGGATGAATAAAGCCCCTGTCCAATGTGGTATAGTGGCAGCCTTACCCAGCCTGAGGCCCTTTTGGATTTCAGCTCCCATTAGTTTCAGTATACATGGTCAATGATCTGGAATGCTGGGATTTGTAGTCCAAAATACCTGGAGGCTACCTGGATCAGAAATGTTGGCGTCATGGTTAGAGTGTGGGATTTCATCTGTGGAGATTAGAGTTCAAGTCCTTGCTCACCCACAGCGGCCTTGGCCTGACTGTGCATTCTGGATTCGTTCACTGCTTATAATTATGAAGTGAGTCAAACCCCTCTGAGCTACCTGGGATACAAATTTGTGGGGAAAAAAACCATGATTCCTTTAGCTAACTCAGCAAATCCTCCAATTTTTAAGATTATCCATACACTTTCCAGCCTATTTTGACAATGATGGACAGTAATTTTCAGATGATTTCTGTGCATACAGTAATGCATCTTCTTCTTGTGTAAAATTGCAGCAATTCATGCAGCCATGTTTTGGGCTTTTTTAAGGCATATAAATGTGCTGTTTTATAACTCCCTTGGGCATTTAAAGGAGTTGTATTAATGAACAACTAATACTTTAAAGGAGCACTCCTATGCACATTAGACAGAAAAAGGGATTATAACTCCTAGTATGTCCCAACCAGCCATTGCTCTTCTCTGTATATATGCATAAAACTGTGCCCTAAAACATTTTACTTTGCTGTGCTGCTGGTAATGGAGTACAAGTATATCTGAGATTTTCAAAATCTGGACATTAGGTCTAAACTGGGCATTGAGGATGCAAGATGTGGCACTACCAAGTTGGAACCCTTTCACTATAATTTCATAAGGAAAAGATCAAGTAGTTGTTGCTTCTTTTCATTTTAGTTAAAGCAGAGCAAGTGAAACCTGTAAAACAGAAAAGAAGAATTGGAGGATTGGAAAAGGCTCATCTTTGCTCAAGAGTAATATAAATATAGACATGTTGTGTCTGGGAATATAATACCATAATTTTATAAATGCTGTAGCCTTCCCCATACTAGTGGCCTCCAGACATATTGGACTACTATGGCCCAAGTTGGTTGGGGATGATGGAAGTTGTAGCCCACCACATCTGGTAGTTGACAACTTAGGAAAGTCTGTCTTTAAGTGTTTGAAAGTGTTTCCATGTACGGTTATAGTTATTCTTTATAAAGCCCCATAACGTGATTTGTTTGGGAAAACTTTTAATGTAGCCTCGGCTTGAGGGTTGGCTGTTTCTCCTTGTGTCTTCAGGTTGCTCTGGAACCACTGCAGATGGAATTTGAACTCTGGTGTCACATCCCATCCCATCCCCACCCCCCACCCCACTCTGCCACCTCACACACACAAATGCATAAATGTACTCCCCTAGATCATCTAAAGAAGGTCTGATGGGAGGGAAAGAGTCTGTCTTTGAGCTGCAAATTCAATTTCTGTTCTTTTTCTAAAAATTCATCACTTTCTCCCTGGTTGAGTGCTTAAAGTCGCCTGCTTGTTCTTTTTTTGCAAGCAGGGGTGACATCAACAGCAGGGCTGGGCCAGGTTCTTCTCTTAGGTGCTGCAGAGCTGCTTTTCCTGTATTCCCTGTTGTGATGCTTCAGGAAATGTTACTCATCTTGCTCCAGGATTAACTTTCACAGAAGGAAGAGAGCAGCAGCTCACCTAAGTCATTTTCACAAGTGACAGACATCTGAATCAGTTGCTGCATGGAAAAAGCTACACAGACTAGAAAACGTTTTCGATCTTAACCGTCCTCTGCATGAGTGAGGCAGCAGGAAGTAGCTCATAAAGTGAACGCAGCCTGTGGGTTGGATCCAAGGTTGGTTCTACTGGGTTGCATCCAGTGTCCAACTCTTAAGCAGGACTCACTGAGCATAGCCCTCTGAGCTCAGTGGGCCGAAGTACTGCTTACTTAGTGGATCCAAGCCACTCTGAGAAATTTCCCTCCTAAGCAGCAATACCTCCCCACAATGACTGGAGCAATCAGAACAACTAATCCCAATACCTTCCTCATATGTTACATAAGAACATATGAAGAGCCCTGCTGAATCAGCCCAAGGGCCCAGCCAGAACTCATGCTAAGGAGACCTTCTGCTCCTCCACCTTGCTGTCCATGGGCACTTGCTGAAAGGTTACAGGGGCCCTGATGTTGTAGGCTGCCTCTGGTCCACCTGGCTTTTTGCCCAGGTGCTTTACCTCCTGCTCCCCCCCCCCCCACTTGCTTTCTGCCTGAGGTTTTCTTCTAAAATCAAATACCCTCCTCTATTGTGTCCCTACATCCCTTTTCACAAATAGGGCTGTTCTCAGGATACAAGCAGCCTTTAAATCATGCTTGAATTAGTGTGCACAAGCTTGAGCATTTTGAAACTCACAAATAAGGCACAAGTGCCACGATATGGCTCTCTGCACCCAGAGAGGCAGCCACTGGTACTGAAGCCACCGTACTGCCGTCAGGCATGGTAGTCCTTGACAGCCTGTATTTGAGAATCTGACAAGGCTACTGGGCTCTGTCAGAACCTAATTAAAGGAAATAGAGAAAATGAAGCATTTCTCTCATTGATGGTTGAGTGAGCGGCATATCGGAATGATGTAAAGCCTTGTGAAAACACGCTTAGCAGCTCCGTGTTGATGTGATTCAGCCTTCCAAATATCATGGACTACAACTCCCAGTTAAGCTGGTTGGGGGTTGCTGGGAATTGTAATCTAACTCATCTGTAGGGCACCAGGCTGGCTAAGGATGAGGCCAGCAATCAACAGTGTGGCGCACACACACAAGCAATGTGTCTACTGAAAAGTAAGTTCTAGGTTTAGAGTAGGCGAGAATTTTGTTCAATTCATTTTTTGATAAGACTTTAGCAACGATTAACAAACTTCATAAACAGAATGTAAGATTAGAAAAAAGATAATGTGAAATAGATTCAGCCAATCAGGCAGCAGTCTCTGTACATTTCTCTGTATTCGGCCAGGTTTGTGGTGCTCAGATGTTGCTGCCATTTCTTTTTGGCAGGCTCTACATCTATGCTAAGTGCATAATAGGAACGTGAAACCTGGTCTGCTCCATGTTAGGAATGGTTGTACCCATTAAATATGCACCATGCAGCTGAGCAAATAAATAGTAATAATAATTGCAGGGGGGGGGTTACATTGGGGTTATAGTAAATCCCAGGTAACATCCCCATGTAGCTCTACCTTGTACAAATATAATCCTTTTAAAAATCCTAAAAAACGGTGTGTTTTTTATTATTAAATTAGAATTATCAAATTGCACTTTTAAAAAATTAAGAACCTTAAGAGGTACAGATCTCTCATCTTCTTTCCAGACACGTTTGACAGCATTCACAAGTGATATATGCCAAACATAAAACTATTTTTGAATCACCTCCTATATCTATTGTCACAGTGGTTCCTTCTAGTTTCTTCATCCCATACTGCTATTACAGAAATAATTCTGGCCCTCAGTTAATAGTTTCCTGTCCATGCATAGCACGGAGATAGTACTTTACTAGTTTCCAAGGTGCCACAACACTTTGCTTTTCACTGCAACCAGCTGGCAGAGCTAGCAGTGCTAGACACCCAGGGGGCCTGCGCTCTGTGAAATCTGTTCATGATAACCAAACCATGGCCTAGTTGTAATGCGTGAATACGGCCACCCCTTGCTGCATTACGGCTGTATTTATAAGAATTCCTGTTACAGTGCTCTGAATTGCAGTGTCGGCTCTGGTAGACCAAATATCTCCAGGTAGAGCTGTCCCAGCACTGCTCCACAACCTCTTTTCCTCCTGTGTATTTTCCCTGACATACTAACCGGGCACATCGTAGTGCAGAAGAGACAACTGTTAATAAAGAAGTCCCCGATTCAATTTTCTCTCAGGCATTGAACTCACATGATGACTTTAGTCAAGTCTCTTTCTCCATGTCAGCAGCAGTATCGGGGCAAGCCAGCTTACACAATGATGGTTTATACAGTTTAGGGTGTGATTAGACAGAAAAATGCCAACAACTTGCTGTAGGTCCTTTTACCAGCTAAACATGGATAGGATTGTCCTTGAACTGAAACAACATCATGAAATAACATACATGATGTGCTTTGAATGCTTAAAGTGATAAATTATTTCTTCTTCTGTTTGTCTAATTTTGTTCCACATTCACTGGTCAAATACTGAATGGGGTAACAGAATGTTTAGGTCTATACTGCAATGTTT